AGAAGAATATATGAAACTAAAATTTCTTTCAAAACATGCACATGGCATTGATTTTGAGCCGATCTCTAGATGATTGTTAAATATTAAACATAAAAAAATATTTACGTTATTTATCTTTCCTTCAAATATAAAAAATTCCATCTCCCGTCAATCTCAAAATTAACAACTCCGTCATGCTGTGTATTATATTATTATATAGGAGTATATGTAATAACTAATCATCCAGAAGAGATTGCAATAAATTAACAACTACTCCGGCAATGATGTTCAGGTTGTTAGGGTCGTGTAATTGTCAGCATAGGATGTTAATTTTGCAAGATTTTTTTTAGTAAATGTTTAAGGTAAGCGTGGACGGACATGAAAACAAAAGGAAAATGCAATTAAAACTGTGATTTGAAGTCCGAAAAAATGCGCTTGTTTCTGTGCACTTTCCACTTCGATCAAACTGCAACACTTTCTCCAGACAGTAAGTAACGACAATTTACGAATTACAACAAATCCACCCGAAGACTTGAATATAATTACAATACGTGACTTCTTTCTGACCTTAATAACATTTAAGTCAACGTGAAAGTTTTTCCTCACAAAGGACAATTCAACGAGTTGCCCTAATTTTTATGACCTGAAAATTGGAGAACTCCAGTAGAATTCCGGCCAAAACTCCACTCGATGGCCATCGCCGACCACCGCAAGCCACATAATTCCGACGGAAAGCTTTGGAAGCTTTGTCCTTTTTGGCAATCAGGAACTACCTCTTCATCTTCTTCGTCTACACAGAATCTTCACTCTCAGAATCACAGTCACCAAAACGGCGTCGGATCCAATAATTCTCGTTCTACTTCTTCCGTTACCTCAGTTGCCAGATCATTGCTTCCGGCTCGGCGTAGGCTTCGGCTCGATCCAGCTAACAATCTCTATTTTCCTTGTGCGTCGCCGTTGACTATCTTTGACTTTATTTATATTACTTTTTCATTTCCTTTTAGCTCAACAATTTTCGGTTTTTTTATGTCATGTAATTTCGTGTTGGAGTGTGAAGCAATTACGTTCTGCTTTTATTAAGATAATTTAATATTTTTTCGGCAGATGAACCGGGAAAGCAGGTGAAGAGTGCTGTAAAGATTAAGAACACTAGCAAATCTTATGTCGCATTTAAGGTAATTTATTTAAGGATCCTTTACGTAATAATTGGTGCTAGTAAGGTCTGTAATTTTCAGAAATCGCTTTTAATCTTATTAATTAATTTATGCGACCTGTGTCAAGTGTTTGGAATCTATAAATTGAAGGTGTTACATTAAAAAACACGAGAAAGAGACGCTAGTAGGAGGTGTAATTAATTTCCTAAGTGATTTTACCGTATCTGGATCTTCTGGATGGTTCATGTTGAACCAATAGTATCTACCTTCAAACCATTCGCATTTACTTTTTGTTGTGAAGCTTATTCCCATATCTCAAATTAGTCTGTTCTATGCTTTAGGGTCGAAGACTAGACCAAGACAAGTGAGCTAATGACAAAGCAGAATCTCAAGTACATTGATGTCGCAAAAGGGCGCTGGCTTAATATAATTATGTATCTTTCTGTAATCAAAAATCTAAAAAAGATAAAATAACGAAAATCATTTTTTTGCTGTGCAGTGAAGCTCCCTGATTTATAACTTTTGTCTTAAGTTCTTGAATTGACTATGCATCTTGCAAAGACTTTTCAAGTCTAAATTGTTGTTCTGGTATTCTTATGAATAATATAGCTGACCTTGTCTAGTTCAGGGTTGGAGCATAGCAGTTCTTGTTGTTATTTATGGAGGTTTAATTTCTGATTGCCTTCACAGTTCACACCATATAATTAGTGGTGTAAGTTTCTGATTATTGCCTTTTTTTTACCTTGATTCTTCCTTTTGCATTTCAAGTTTCAAACTACTGCACCAAAGAGCTGCTACATGCGACCTCCCGGAGGCATTCTCGAACCTGGTGAAAGCGTTATTGCCACTGGTAATTGGTTTGCCTAAGTTATCTTGTTTCCAGTATCTTTTTTGGATGTAGAAGATCAACTTATATTTGGATTTTGTGACTGAATGATAGTCTTCAAGTTTGTTGAGCACCCTGAGAACAACGAAAAGCCTGTAGATCAAAAGAGCAAGGTAAAGTTCAAGATCATGAGCTTGAAGGTTAAAGAAGGAACGGATTACGTACCTGAGTTGGTAAGCAACTGAACTTCCTAGGTCTTTTTAAAAGTGGCAATTTTATGGGTTTGCAGCATCTTTAACCACAAAGTAAGTTAGGGTATCGTGCTTCTTCAACTTTGAATACTCATCATGTGCAACACATTGATTTTCTTACTGATGATTCATGCATTTTAACTTAACACATTAACATGGAAAGGTGTATATGGACTTGTCTGGATCTTGGACATTTTTTTGTTTTTTGTCCTTTTGGTGCTGAAAGTCACGAGTTCTTTATTTGTCTATCTGTTCTATGTATTTTTCTTTATGTAAGGATGGACCCTGTCCTATCTTCCGAACATCTTTATGAAAATCAGCTGGGGATTATATTATTTACCGCTTATATAAATAGAGCATTTTATGGTAAGATGCAGGTAAATATGGAGCTCTATCATAGGTCGGCATTATTTGAAATGACATCTTCATGACATGCTCCTATATATCTATCTTATTAAATATGTTAATAATTTGTTAGAACTTAGAAGTAGTAAATTAGAATTTAGAAGAAGCTCGGATCTTTGGTACACCTTAATTTCAAGATAAAAAGTTCATCCAGGATGTATAGCTTATTTGTGGTGGCTGTATTCATGTAGTTCTGTGCTTGCTTGCTTCTTTGTCCTTCACTTAATCCAGGAGCTTCTCTTACCACCTTGGCTATGGTGACATAGCAGAAGCTCTTTCCAGTAGGCTTTGATTAAGAAAGGATATTTTAGCTGATTCCCGTCTTTTGAGTAGAGTAGCATTAAAAATTAGATAAGTTGCCTTTGGTATATTCCAAGAAAAGAATTGTTAAAATTGCATAGAGATGTGCTTGTAGTGTTGTCTTAAAATCATGACCTTCAGTACAAAAATATTTGATGATGTCTTCAAGGCAAAGCCTTCAGCAGATTTTGGAAAATCCTGTTCGATGCTTGATATGTACTTTCCTTTATTGTAAATTTAATCAGTTAGAACATCCTGAAAAAATGACATAGACTGTGAATACATGAAGTTATTGAGGTTTGGGGCTTTTACAATGTAGCTAGGAACAGTTGCTTTTGTCTGCAACTCCCAAGTTTGAAATGTTTCATCCTTTTTTAGGATCAAATTTAGGAGCATCAGAATGTCATACACAACCCATTTCTTCCTGTCCTGTCTTTGCGATAGTCAGGATTACTAAAGATTTTCTTTTCTTTCACCATCATTCTATACTCCCTTGGAAGGCAATCTTGGTGCAACATACTGTTTCTGACTTGGGTTCTCTCCTTGGAAAGCGATTGTGTATGTGCATTCCCAAAACTAAACGTGGGAATTTCGTGCCTCAGTTGCCACTGTGTGCGAAATCTGATGTGTAACTACAGAATATAAGTCTATAGTGTGACTCGAATTTGTTGTCAATAAATCCAACAGTGTTATAATCCTGTTGGTTTGTGTTGATGCAGTTTGATGAACAAAAGGATCAAGTGACTATTGAACGTGTCCTACGGGTGGTGTTCTTGGACCCGGAACGCCCTTCTCCGGTAAGAATTAGACATGTTACTGTTTATCTGCTTGTACAATTTGCTCCAAGTTCACTCTCCAACTAAATAACTTGATTGATTAAGGCACTGGAAAAGCTAAAACGTCAGTTGGCTGAAGCTGAGGCAGCATTAGAATCTCGCAAGAAACCTCCAGTTGAAACTGGACCAAAAGTTGTGGGAGAAGGTCTAGTAATAGATGAATGGGTAAGACTCTGTATGTGTAAATCAAGGCATGTATATTTCCATGTTCGATTCCTTTAGGCTCTAACTTTGTTTTTCTGCTTGCTCTTGTTCATCAATAGAAGGAGCGAAGGGAGAAGTACCTAGCTCGGCAGCAGGTTGAGGCTATTGATTCAGTGTAAAGCACTAGCGGATTTTAATGCACGTGTCTCTTTTGCCAAAATTGAAATGTTAAACCAGATCCATCCCTTTTCTGCTTTGGTTCTTTCGAAGGATGGTGGAGAAAAGGGCAGTGCGGTGCTTCTTGTAAAGAAAAATAATCAGTGGAGGTTTAGTTTCCCTTTCATGGGGTAAAAGTTTGTTATGTGATCGTTTGGCTGTTTTCTTGTAGATATTGCATTTCTTTTTGCTAAAAACATATTCTTTTGGTGCCATAAAAATATAAAACTGAGTACTGCTCATGTAGCGGCTATGCTACCGAATGCTTCTTGTATGAGTTTCCCAGAGAGACAGAAACTAAAGTGTTCCTTAATATGGTAGGTAGTCTACATTTAACTTCATAGAAACTATTGAGAGCTTAAGGTTGGAAATTGGATGTTATCTTTAGGAGTTTCATGCACTTTGTAGCTGCTAGGAATTGGAATAATACAACTATACGATTTACAAAGATGCTTAATGTGGTAGTAAAACTCTTCGTCTGTTTAGGCGGTAATTGTGTAGACCGTCGTGTCCACTGAAAACAAAAAGGAATTGCATAGTACCATATTCCACCGTATAACTTTCTCGCATAAGCTTATAGAAAATCTAATTTCCTTGCAAAGATATCAAAGCTAGAGTGCTAGATTTCTATAAAGAACTCGGGAGGGAAAGACGCGAGGAAGTATTGCCTCTGCTTTTTGATCTATTAGTCCTGCGATGAATTTCCAACTGTACACAGAGAAGCACAATTTTTTACCAAACTAGTGCCAGCTAAGAAAGAAAAGAAAACGAAATTAGAAGTGCTAACCTAATTTGGTCATTAAATAAAGAAAAAAAAGCAAACCAAGGTGAAAGAATGCATTATGATCTATGCAGTCTTCAACCCAACAAACAAGTTGGAGAAAAGCAATTACACTAAAATATCTCTAGTCGCATTTTCTAATAATCCAATCACTTAGTACAAAGAAAGAATAAATATGTCAAACTGAAAAAAAAAAAAAGAGTTTTAAAAAAGAAACGGATAAAGAAGCTAACACCAACATTCACACACAACCTATACATAATGAACAAGTTTGTATCTGGAATGCTTCGCAAGAAATTTTGATAAGAAACTCATTACAAGCAATCCAACCAGTAACCAAAGAGTTTCAATCAGTAAATCATCAAACTATTCAGAGATTTTCCGGCAATTTAAAGTTCTGTGATCCACAAATTTGATGAGAGCCATTTTCGACAAAGAGAGCTACGCCACATTTGCTACTATTGAAGCCATCCCAAAGAGAGAAATTGACAGTTCCAGAGATCGTCTTCTTTGCAGTAATATCCTTGACTGAACAGAGCTTTTCCAGCTTCCTAACAACATAGTCATTTGCAAGCATTTTTCCTTTGTTTTCTCCCGTAGCGCAATCAGTCACCAAACCGCATTCGTACAGAGCAATCATGATATTGACACCATTGTTGTCCACCTTACTCCTCAGAGATCCTAATAGGGATACTTGCAATGACTCTGCTGTTGGCCTCTCGAATGTCGCCTGTTAATATGTCTTTTGCAACATTAGCAACTGAGAGAGTTTTGATTATGGAGCAGCTTCTCTTCCAATTTATAATCAGTAAGTACATGTGTTGGATATATCATAGGAGGCTGACAATACCACTTACCTAGGAGGATGACTTGTAGACTTACCACTATAATTTACTAACATTTTGTAGTTATGAGAGTCCTAATAGCGACCAATATTTTCAATATAAAATGTAGCCATATATAGGAAAAACCACTAAAGTTTCAATAAATATTAAATTCTGACCCATAATTTCAAAATTATACTAAGCTCAGTTTAAAACCTAAAGACTGAATACATCAAATTTTAAATCATGAATCCGCCTTCCAATTGACACGTATTTTCATAAGAGGTGGTCCATATGGAATTGTACTAATCCAATGAATGCAAAAGAGTCTAATGACAGTAGTTAAACTAAACTGTACCAATTCAATAAAATTCTTTATCAGAATAATGTGTTGAGGTCAAATTTTAGTTACTTTTTCTTGATATCCAAATGATCAAATTATCTTGGATTGCACATATTAGCTTATCATTTCCAGTAGACTGTAACTTGGTGCAAGATCATGACGAATTAAATCAATCCCACATTAATTTGAATCTAACATAAAAATTCTCCGTATCAACTACGATTGTTTTTTATCAGACGGAATAACCAATACAAATTGGTAATACAAAACATGGTTTGATTTTGAAGATTAATTATAAGATCGTGAAGAAAGATAAAGATTTTTTTTTCTGTTTCCCGCCCGGTAGGGCCCAATTCGGGGGAAACGCTCCTACCAAGTATTTTTCCATACCCAGAGCTCAAACCCGAAACCTTTGATTGAGGGAAGAACAGTCTCATTCACTGCACCACATCTTTTGGTACGTTGGCAACACCAAAATGCACCATTTTATTTATTATATAAATCTACTAATGATTCCATGTATGATCAAAAGCAAATCCTTTTAAAATCAACAATATGGTAACAAGAACAAACCTGGAAGGAAGGAGCAGGAAATCTGGGGGCAGATTTGATGCAAGAGAAGAGAGCTTCGTGTTCATTGGCAACACATTGAGCTCGTCCTTGGACCACAATTTGTGGAGTAAACATTGTATCAAGATTTAAGGCCTCAACATAAGCCTTCTGTTTAACGGTCCATAAACTAGACCCAAATGGATCTTTCCAGCCCATATAATCCCAGTAATCCACATGATATGCCAACAAAATCACCGGCATCTCCAGGTTAAAATCGCCTCTTCCTATCCTCGAAAACAACAGCTCCGCCTCAGGTGAGGTGGCGCAGCCCTGTGATGAGAATAACTCCACCACCACTGGCCCGCACCGTTTCTGCTCCTCCGCCGTTAAGTCTGCCGTTGCATTGTCGTTAGAGGTCTGGTGGTGTTTGGAAGAAGAATGAGAAGAGCCTTTGCCGAAGCAAGTGAAGAGACGGCGCGCCATTCTTGACGTGTCGTCTCAACCTGGCGATGCCTTAAGGGAGATTAGAATGAAATGTGCCGATGAATAATTTGTTGCCTTTTTTTTGGTTTTGTTTAAATAATTTTTATGTGGTGTTGAAGAAGAAGAATGATAAAAAGAGAGAAACTAAAAAGGAAAGCGTAGAATTGTAGAAATACGAGGAGACGGTGAAGAGAAAAAGGCGGCGGAACAAGTGCTTACAATGGTGTGCTATTGATATCTTTATTACAAAAAACGATTCCTTTGCTCTTCTTTTGTTTTCTTCTATATAAGAAAAAAAATGAAAATTATTATATTTTCTTATTGATGGAAACAAAAGAAGAGTAATTGCAATCAAGGTTTCCATAAAAGTGTAGCACATGAAATGTGAATTAGATATACGATAGATATTGTTATATAAATAAAAATGTAATAAGCATAAAGATTTTTATCTTATTATAAATAAAAATTTAATATTTAAATGAAGAAGAATAAAAGGATGGTTATTCATTATATTCGAATTATGCGCCACCATTTCTTGAAAATTTTCCCGGTTATATATAAAAAAGTAGTTATTCACATACGCGAGTTTGCAATTATGTTTGAACTTTGAATGATTTATGAACTAATTGATGAAATATTTGCGTTATCTCACCCAATTTGCCAACGTAAAGTACTAATTAGATGATTAATTATAGTTAAATTATACTCTTTCTGTCATAATTTATACGATATTTTTGCTTTTCGAGATTCATACTTATTATTTTTGACTATCCATTTGGACATAAAGTTTTTCAGATTTCAAAATAAAAGTTATATATTCAAAAACTACGTAAAAAGTACGATAAGTCACAATAATTAATAATTTAAAATATTAAAAAAAAATATGAAAAATTATAACTAAAAATAATCCGTATGACTCTCGATATCTAAACACCTTCACATAAATCGGAACAAAGAGAGTATAAACTTAGACTGTGAATATATTATAATCTATCTTTCTTTATCTAGACTAGATTGGAAAAAAATTACTATAAATTATTCAACATGAAATAAAATGTTATGCTCTTTGCATTATACAAAAGTCAAAAGAAAAGTTAAAATGGGAGGTGTAGCATTGCTGCGAAGGAAGGTCGGCGGCCATAGATTGAATGTCGTTACCGACACGAAGGAGGAGTCGGTGACACGTTATTATTTGTTTTAGGTAAGGTTACGTTGAGTTGGAAATGTCAGTCGGACCATCTGTCCACTTGCAACACTTTGCAAAAAGTGCGATGCCTTCACTGGGAATCTCTTTCAATAAACAATTAGTCTATCTTATTATATTAAGGGAACACAGATTTCCCCATATTATAAAACAAAAAAATAAAATTAAAGCTTGAAAATAAGAAGGACAATTATACTTCCGTAGTGGTATAAACAAAGTAACATACAGAGAGATCAAAGATAGAAGTCTATTGCACTCTCTCCGTTCAAGTTATATGATGTAATTTGATTCCGAAATTTGAAGAAAAAAATATTTTTAATTTTTGATGAAATTTTTTTATGATTTTAAGCATACAATCGAATTTATATACTTATCAGATATGCTATTAAGTGTCATAGGTTGGTCAAACTAGAGACAAACTGTATTGGACCAAATTTGACAATCACGACAACAGATAAGCGAGGCTTGAGACGAAATCATTACAATACAACAACTGACGATCGTTGTGGTAAAGGATGACGACTAGAGGCGCGCAGGTAAAATGAAGTAGTTTCGGTAGTCTAAACTTAGAAAGAGACATGAAGAATATACCTTTGGAATATTCTTTGTGCTATACTTTTTAGAGTTTTTTGGGGAATGTCCCTTATAAATAGGAGTGGATAGTAAACGAGAAGGGATCTGCCCTTTTCGAGAACTGAGTGATATTGTAAGATTGAGAAAAGAATATACAAGAAGGTTGTCTTATTCATTTCATCCATACACATGTTGTTCATTATTTGTTTATAAATCTCAAGATCCCACATAGATATTGATTACTTTCCATTCCACGTCGTCAGAGAAAGGAAACACCCAATCATATAATCATTGGGTGACTATTCTTTATACTACAATCCTTGTTATTTCTTACATTTATTACACTTTCATAATATTGCACATCTTGTCAGTCACAACATATTAAGTTCACTATTTAATGTTTATAAACTCTACTCATCATACATGAGTTTTGCTCCACTTGATCTAGAGATTATTAAATTCAACTGAGATTCATCATATTAGTTTTTGTTACTAATTAGTTTAGAATTTATTTGCTCAAACAATTTAGCACCGTCTGTGGGGAGTTTTTCAGTTGAAACTATAGTTCTTTCTAGATCATAAAAAAAACACCTCTTCTTCGTTTGCACCAACTAACAATGGCATGGAAAGGAGATGCGAGGTTGAAAACGATAACAAGTGTCATTACCAATATCTTGAACACCATCAACGAAGATGACAAGGAGGACAATTAAAATGTGACGCCAAGCGTTATGCCTAGGCGAAATGCTTTGCCTCCCCCCGAAAGCGTTACTGCTTCACGCGAAAAGGAAGCCTCTACGTCAATAACGGAAGAAGCGCCACCGGTGGTAAAAAGGCTACTGGAAGAATGGCTAACAAGCACTCTGAACAACATACTTGATAAACCCACCCAAAGGGAGAACAGGGACGCTGCACATGTAGAAATCACGACAGCCACCGGCGAACAAGATGCCCCCCGAACTGGTAACACTCACACCACTATTGATGCAGGTAACGATGCACTCGCAGCCATTCTAAAGAAGATGGAAGAAATGAAAAACAAAAATAAGGCGCTCCGCGACCAGATGAAGTAGCATCAAGAAAGGGTTGATAAGATACCAGGCGCCCCAAAGTTGTTACCGAAACGAGACGTTAGTCGATTCATCGAGCAACCATACAACGAGGAAGCAACCCCCCATGCCATTCCTAAAACCTTCAAAATGCCACCGTACTTGAAGATATATGACGGTACAATGGACCCAGAAGATCATATCATTCACTACGTCACAACGGTTAAAAACAACGATCTTTCGAAAGAACAAGTACCATCAGTGCTACTAAAAAAGTTTGGCGAAACCCTAACAAGGGAGGCCCTAAACTGGTACTCACAACTACTGGTACGATCAATAGCAATGTTCGAAGAAATGGCGGACAAGTTTGTCACCACTCATGCATGGGATAAAAAGGTGGAAGCCAAGGTAAATGACATATTCGCCGTTAGGCAGACACTTGAGAGGGACTCAGGTACTTCCTAGCCCGGTTTAACAGGGTGAGAATGAGCCTACCGAATGTATCAGAGGGGATGGCGGTAACGGCCTTCCATAACGAGTTGAGCAAAAACGGGTCGAGAGCAACCAGAAAACTAGTAAGCAGGTTCATGAAATACCCTCCCACCACTTGGGAAGAAATCCACAACGCCTATTGTGCCGAGGTAAGAGCCGACGAGGACGATCTTAATGGCCCGATCTAACGACTGATGTCAGTTCAAACAGAAACAAGGAAGGATCGTCGCAATAACAGTCGAAGGGATCAGTTGGGCCCCTGTCTCGATCGAGAGAGAAATCAGCCCTACATCAAAACAACCATTCCACATCCCCTGCGGTACATGGATGTCCCTCCTCGGCATACCGCGACACCGCAAAACAAAAGAGGTATGCCTCCGCTCTTATCTGCTCACAATTTTTGTGTTTCTCCTTCAGAAATAGTTTACGCACTAGAGAAGCTTGGCACGAAGATGCAATGGCCACAAAAGATAAAGTCCGACCCAAGTACTTGAAAATCAAATGCCCTCTGTGAATTTCACCTGGAACGGGGTCACAAAATCGAGGACTGTATAGGTCTGCGGCAAGAGGTAGTGAGAATGCTAAATCAATGACACCTGAGAGAACTGATGAGCGACTGAGGGTGAGCCAACTTTTCCCGCTGACGCGAACAACCCCAAGGACCTCCAAAACCGCCCTCTCCCACTCGTACCATACAAATGATCATAGGTGGAGGTGACGGGACAACAATCAACCATGTGAAATTCACCACTACATACAAACTCAAACTGTCGATCACTCACGAACAGTATGATGACCTTGAAAATAGTATCGTCTTCGATAAGTCAGATACTGACGGTTTGTCTTTCCCTCACTACGATGCTCTTGTTATTAGTTTACGTATTGCAGATACTGATGTGAAAAGAATAATGGTGGACGACGGAAGCAGCACATGTATTATCCATCCTCGAGTCCTCGTAGAGATGAGGCTCGAAGATAAAATAATATCGCGTTGCATAACACTAACGGGTTTTAATAATGCAGTCGAGTGAACTTTTGTAGAAATAGTGCTACCCGTTCTAGCCGGAGGAGTCACCCTGGTAACAACATTTCACATCATGGATCAAGACACAGCCTACAACGCCATCATAGGGCAACCGTGGATACACGCCATGCGGACTATCCCGTCAAGTCTCTATCAAGTAATCAAGTTCCCTACTCTATGGGGAATATTTAACATCAAAGGCGAACAACTCCCCGCACAAGAATGTTATCGTAATGCCCAGGATCGTGCGCACACCCAATAACTAAAGGGAGAGAACGCGAAAGCATAGCAATTAGCAAGGGGAACCAAACCCGACACACAAATAGACGTTATCAAGGATCCCGACATCATAAAGGACGCTGAGTCAACCATAGAAGATCTCTATCCTGTCCAACTATACAACAATAGCAACACAACAAAGGCTTATATCGGACACAATCTCTTAGAACCAAGTATATTTCATAAATTCTTAACTGACAATGCCGACCTATTTGCCTTCTCCTATTCAGATATGTCGGGCATTCCGAAAGACATCGCTACGCATAAGCTGAACGTCGACCTGCTATATCCGCCAGTGCGATAGACAAGGAGAAAGTTCAATACCGCAATCAATGAGGCCGTCAGCGTTGAAATTGATAAACTACTCTTCAACGGTTCTATCCGAGAATCAAAATATCCCCAACGGGTCGCAAAGGTGGTCATTGTAAAAAATAAAAAGGGGAAATGGTGGATGTGCGTTGATTTCATGGACCTAAACAAGGCATGCCCGAAAGTCTCTTTTCCACTGCCTCATATCGACCAACTCATCGAGGTAACAACAGGGCACGAACTGCTAAGCTTTTTGGATGCCTACTCGGGTTACAACCAAATCCTCATGGAGGAGAAAGACCAGGAGAAA